AGGGATTGGATTAGGACCAATATTATGGGTTGGGTTAAGTGCAAGATATACATGTAAGTAGAGTAGGAAGAAGAGTAGGAGAATATCTTGTTTGAAAAAAAAAAAACTCACAAAAAATAACTAATTTCACCTAGGTTTGTGGAGGGCATTATCATTGATAAAGGGACAAGGACCCGAAATGTCAGTACTTTGAATGCTCTTTGAATGAATTTGGGCTGCACCAGTGGGCCCCTATAACTTAGCTGCACTTTGTGGATGAATACTTTTTTTATTATTATTTATTTATTTTAAATATTCAAACAACTAATTTTACCTGGGTTTGTGATAAAATGGTTAATTGAAAAGTGTCATAATTCTCTTAGTTACATGGCCTGGGGCATGCAGTTTCAACAAATATATACATTTGTGTGACAGCTTTGGATTCTATGACTACAACCAAACATGTAACCTCAGCATGCTACATTTTGCAACATTTTTGCCTTAAAATTATAATTAACTCCTTGCAGTGTTTATTTTAATGAAATGTATTAAAATCTTAGACATATTAGGCCCTTTAACAATCGGGAACTATTGAATCTATGAGTTAATTTTCATTATTTTCACTTGATGTGTAGAATTTATCAAATGTAAAACTTGGAAAAATATTTTTTTTAATTGTTTCCCATTTTGAAATATGTTATTACTATCCTATTCCTAATATTTTATTACTATCCTATTTATTCTTCAGAGTGTTCTGCGTCAACTTGCACAGCGTGGGAAGGCACCATAAAAATTTCCCTACCCTGAAAAGCTCAATCTGCCCAGAGCACACACCAGGTGAAGATGGATTATTTTTATCACCTGGATTTCTTTTTCAGCATTTTTTTTTTTTTTTTTTGTGCTTACGTTTTTTAATTTTTTTTATTTTAACACTTGACTTTTTAGATTTTTAATTTGGTCTTTATTGGGGCTGAAAAATATATATATATTACAAGGAGGGAGCCATGAGCCTGTAGCATCATATTTGTAATAAACTAAACAAACAAAGGCTGAATTGCAATTCACACTTCCTTTGTTCTTTGTAATTTCTATACGTTCATTGGTCTTTCTGCCAAATTAATAAATAGCCGAAATTCCTGTTCGAATTACGAACAAAAGCGAATGCCTTAGTCTGCAACTGGGAATGCTCAGAAATTTCACAGCCTGATCTAGTGTGGGAACATGACGTGTACAGCAGGGCCTTCATTTGGGGAACACTAGGATGGTGGCGCCAGGAAGATGAGTAATAAAGAGGTTTAAAAAAGGTGAAATGTTGCACCTAGAGACATTTGGGGGTGACTAGGAGAATAAAATGTATAAAAGCAAGAGGATATTCAGGGCTTGTCCAGTACTGGTACAGTCCAAAGGGCAGCTAGATCACCAAATCCAGGGACAATAAAATCTAGTGGAATTAGGAGGTAGGTTAAAAAAATACAGATGTGGCCATGGCACTGCCCCTTTAAACAGAAAGACGAAACTTTTTTTGTAGACTGAAGGCATGGCAAAAGTTTCAATAAGGTCTTTGCAGGCTAAAAAGCCTTGGTCCTTAACCCTTTAAGGACGGTGGGCGTTCTATGCCGTCCTTGGGGACATGGCTCTAAATGCCCGCGGGCGGTATAGAACGCCCAAGCCGTCCTATGTACTTACCCTCCTTCCTCTGCGGCCCCCCTGGGCCATGTGATCCTTCTTATTGTTTTTGTTTTTGCTTGTTAGAATAGATGTATTGACTGTTTGCCATGATAATGTCCAAATGTCACGTAGCTGAAAGGGAAGGGGTTAATACTAGCCTGAATACAGAGTACATATATATAAAATAAAATTGCTTAAAAAAAACAACACAACAAAATGCTATTAGATTATTCTCTAAAATATAGACACAATAAAGAAAAGAGTGATTTATCATCCTTTATTGCATTTTATCCTACTGGACTAAAGAAAGTCTTTTGCAACCTGTTTATAATTTCAGATTTTAGGAATTACATGTTGCTACTATTATTACTTTGTCTCATTATAAAAGTATTAGCCTTCTAATATCTCAGGTTCATCTGAAAATATTAGTCACTTCAGAATCATGTGTGCATCGAATCTGGCATTCTCATTAAGTTTCAGCATAGTATTTATACTATTAAGGGCTGGTTATATATGTACTGCAGGCAACTCCTCATGTATGAAAGCTAATTCATTATACTTTGTAGGCTAAAATTGGTGGTCAGAATAACCTTTAAATGCCTTGCACTCTCTTTTTTTTCACTGGCAGACTCTACACCAAGTTTACTACTATCTAGTATACCTCACTTGCAATTACATCTATTATCTATAATATCTATAATCTATATTATATCTATAATATGTGATTATATTTGTACTATTTTCCTTGTACTTGTCCCTGAAAATAGTTTTGTTAAAATGCTAACAGACCGGAACAGTGGTTCCCAAACCAGTTCTCATGGCCCACCAACAGTCCAGAATTTATGTATTTCCATTTTTATTCCAATGTAGATACTGCCAAAACCTGGACAGATGGGAAGTGGTCCCTTTCCTTAAGCCACACATGCTTAAACTACCTCACTGTGTTAACTCTCTCAGTAAAATAATACTTTCTGATATTATTTTTAAGCTTTTGCTCCTCTTATTTAGGACTACGTCCCCACTGCCTTGTCTTTCCTCCAAGCTATACATGTTAAGATCCTTTAACCTTTCCTGGTAAGTTTTATCCCGCAATCCATGAACCAGTTTAGTAGCCCTTCTCTGAACCCTCTCTAAGGTATCAATATCCTTCTGAAGATACGGTCTCAGTACTGTGTACAATACTCCAAGTGAGGTCTCACCAGTGTTCTGTACAATGGCATGAGCACTTCCCTCTTTCTACTGCTAATACCTCTCCCTATACAACCAAGCATTCTGCTAGCATTTCCAGCTGCTCTATTACATCGTCTGCCTACCTTTAAGTCATCTGAAATTATTAACCCTAAATCCCTTGAGGTTAGGACTCTATCAATTATTTGATACTCTGCTCTTGGGTTTTTACGTCCAAGATGCATTATCTTGCACTTATCCACATTAAATGTCAGTTGCCACGGCACTGACCATTTTTCTAGTTTACCTAAATCATTTGCCATTTGGCTTATCCATCCTTGAACATAAACCCTGTTACATATCTTAGTATCATCAGCAAAAAGACATACCTTACCATCAAGACCTTCTGCAATATCACTAATAAAAATATTGAAGAGAATGGATCCAGTGATTGACAGCCACTAGAGGCAGTCTTAGGGACACTGCACCCAGACCACTTTTCAATAATTGGTCTTGGTGCCTATTGTGTCGCTTTAAGGAAAAACACAGGGTGGATGTGATGGATTATAACAAGCAATAGGCTTCTTGGCTATTTTAGCTGTATTAGTATGTAAAATATGAGCCTTACCTCTAAGAAAAACAACACTTAAAACGAAATATTAAATTCAAACCTTTGTTTGCAACTAAATAATTAATTCACTATTTTGGAAAACTACCTCGATGTGGCTTCTTTATAACTCACTAAATCATGGAATATATAACCATGATGTTTTCTTACAGTCAGCATCAGTAAAACTTATTTAACAAAATATCTCTCCAGTATAAAGAACAGCCTCACGTATAGTTTAGAGCAGACATTAATAATTTTGTATTTACACATGGAAAACACATTAATTTTAATTTGGAAAAAAACTAATTGTGTATAATTATGGCTGCAATGGGAGACAAAATCATTAGCGATAAAAGTACCATTATTTTGTTTATAGAGGTAAAGTCCGGCTCTTAGCATATTTAAGATGGAAATGATGTGGTTTGTTTCTAGGGTTACAATTTACTTATAATAAGTAAATTAAATAAATTGTATGGAGTGACACACATAGAATTTGTATGATGGGGTCAGGACACCAATGTGTAGTATTTAGAATTTATTTATTAACGTTCCTCTGTTTCCAGGTTTTCGATGGCAATTAAAATGTTCAGTCTCTATGGTACAATTGATCTAACGCTGAATAACATACACATTGTGTCCTTCACTGCAGGAGCAGTATACAAAGCACTGAAAATGTGAGGTGTATTCACTAAATTTTAGTAAACTGAAAGTTGAATTGCAGAATTAAGGCTAAACAGTCAATTACCTACATTTTGTAATTCACTTTTCAGTTTACTGCAATTGAGTGTTTAGTGAACAAAAAACACATTGTTTCATGTGCCTATAGAAAGACAGATTACCTGTATTAAGGTTAATTGCAATTTTAAATGTAAGGCCAAATTAGTCTGACACATAGGTGTGCGCAGCCTATTGCATTAGGGTGTGCACCCTAAAGCACAAACACACGCCGTGTGTGTGTGTGTGTGTGTGTGTGTGTGTGTGTATATATATATATATATATATATATATATATATTATACACTGCTGTGTGTGCTGTTAGTGTGATGTGTGATGTGAGGGTGTTTGTGTGTGTGTGTGTGTGTGTGTTTGTGACTGTGCTGTTTGTGTGTGAGGGTGTTTGTGTGTGTATGTTTGTCCTGTGAGGGTGCTGTTTGTGTGAGTGTTGTGTATTTGTGAGGGTGCTGTTTGTGTGTGTGTTTGTGAGGTGCTGTTAGTGTGCTGTGTGAGGGTGTTGTGTTTTTTTTTAAAGGTGCTGTGTGTGTTTGTGAGGGTGCGGTTAGTGTGCTGTATGTGTGTAGGTGCTGTATGTGCGTGTGCTGTATGTTTGGAGGGATTTGGCAGATTAGTAAATCCTTGCTGCCATGTGCCATCCCTGGTGGTCCAGTGGAGAGTGAACTCTAGCCTGCGGGCCTAGAGTTAACTCTCGTGAGATCTGAGCTTCTGTCTAGAGCTCCCTGGGTCCTCTCCTGCCTCCCTCCATGCTGTGGGCCGGTGAGGTAGATCTTTGGTCTCCCCGCCGGCCCATGGAGGCTTAGAGCAGAGCCGGAACTCAGATAGCGCAGGCTCTGCGTGTGTATGTGTATGTGTGTGTGTGTGTGTGTGTGTGTATATATATATATATATATATATATATATATACGTACTCACACAGACACAGACACACACACACACACACACACACACACACAAGAACAAATTATTATATTTTAATAAAAAAAAATGTCCAGCCAGCCTCCTACCTGGAGTGCTGGTGTGGACTTGACCCTGGGGTCCAGTGGGGTGGGCGCCTCTCTCCAGCTCAGCTGCGGCGAGGGAGCTGTCTGCTCTCTGCTCCCTCTCGCCGCGCTAGCTGTCTACAGTAGCTGGGCGCCGGAATATGACGTCATATTCCAGCTCCAGGCATCAGCGCGCGGCGAGAGGAAGCATAGAGCAGACAGCTCCCTCGCCGCGGCTGAGCTGGAGAGGGGGGGGGGGATCCATCACCTCTTGCCCCCCCATGACAGGGGCAAGAGGTGAGACAGGGGGCGCTGAGTGTCTGCAGGAACAGCGTTCCTGCTCAAAAAAAAATGCAGGAACGCTGTTCCTGCAGGATTTAAACCATAGGCGTGCCACGGGGATTAGGGTGTGCCCAGGTACACCCGGCACACCCTGTGTGCATGCCTATGGTCTGACATGGAAACTGGAAGTAAAGATTACTTTTAATTCAGAAATTTTTTCTTTTTGTAATTAATGACAATTCTCTCTTTAACAAGTTTTCAAAATCTGCAATTTTAGCCTAAATTTTGCCAATCAGATCTAATTTTGCTTGAATTTGGTATCTAGTCCAATGTGTCAAAAAGACCAGGGGTACATTTTATGGTCTAGCCAGGGTCGGATTAACATAAGGACGAATAGAGCTGCACTTCTGTGGACTTGTTGGCTATAAAATAATTAACTTAAAGGGACAGTATAGTTACCAAAACAACTTTAGCGTTATGAAGCAGTTTTGGCATATTGATCATGCCCCTGCAGTCTCACTGCCCAATTCTCTGCCATTTAGGAGTTAAATCACTTTGTTTATGGCTGACTGACACAGCCTTCATGAAAACAAAATGATTTCCCTTTCAATCAGATGCAACTTACTTTAAACGTCTTTAACGCTTGCTCTGTAAATTTGAACTTTACTTACATACAGGAAGCTCCTGCAAGGTCTAGCAAGCTATTAACAGTGCAGGAGATATGACATTCTAAATTAAACAGAATTTGTAATTAAGGAAGTTTAAACAATATATGACTCTTTACAAGAACTGTTTAGGAGGGCAAATCACGTGCAGGGAGGTTTGATTAGGGCTGCATAAACAAAGTGACGTACCTCCTAAATGGCAGAACATTGAGCATTGAGATTGCAGGGGCATGATCTATACACCAAAACTGCTTTATTAAGCTTACGTTGTTTTGGGAGCTATAGTGTTCCTATACTTCAACAGTGGTTCTATCCCACATATATTGACTTAAGACCCTTACAAAACCATTCACATAACCATTACTTATGGAGGAAAACCATTGCAAAGCCTCTGTATTTCCATTTGCCAAGTCTGTCAGTGCAGCTCCAGACTCCGTACATGCTACTTGGTGGCTTGAAATTTAATGCCAGATAGTCCAGTTAAAGCACAGCTATAGCACACAGAGGAAATGAAATGCCTCTATTACAGTGCTACACTGCGTCACAGTCAGGGCCGGACTGGGGATACGAAGCAGCCCTGGAAAAAAATCTATGCCAGCCCCATAAGTCATTGTGCTATGTAGGGTGTTATATATTAAAGGACCACTATAGTGCCCTGAGGGTGCCCCCACCCTCAGGGTCCCCCTCCCGCCCGGCTCTGGAAGGGTGAAAGCACGCTTCAGCGCTGGGCGGGGCTCACCGATCCCCTCCTTCTCTCCTCCCGTGCGGCTGAATGTGCCAGCGCAGCGCAAAGAGCTACTTGGCGCATTCAGCGCCCGATCACCTATAAGCATTATCAATGCTTTCCTGTAGACACTAGCGTGCTTCTCACTGGCGAAATCACCGGTAAAGGAAGCAGCCTCGAGTGGCTTTGTCCAGCCAGGGGCAGCCGCACTGAAGCTCAGGAGAGCAACCCATTCACCACTAAAACGCGCGCGCTGAAACTGCTGCTGTTTTGTAAAAATAGGTAACCTAACTGGACCAGGCACTTTAAGGAACCACTTCATTGAGCTGAAGTGGTCACAGGTTGCGCATAAAAATCCCCTTTTAATGGCAGCATGTGTGTGTATGTGGCGTATTATTACGCCAGCAACTGGCATACATAGCAGCAGCAGCATGGTAGCGCCGCATAATAGCCTTATATATATATGTATATATATATATATATATATATATATATATATATATATATATATATATGATACATTTATTCTTCTAATTCAAAATATTAGTCCTTTCAGGGTAATTAAATTATACAGTAAAGCATACTCACACACAGACACAGACAATCTTACTGATGCACACAAATAGGCTCATTGACAGACAGGCTCAATGACACACACAGACAAGGTTACTGGCAGACACATAAATTTAGGACAGACAAACTCTGACACACACACAAGCTTACTACAGACAAGCTCACTGTCACACACACACGCTCACTACAGACAAGCTCACTGATGCGCACACACTCTCCCTACAGACAAGCCCATTGACACACACATGCTCCCTACAGAAGAGCTCACTAACACAGATTCATTACAGACAAGCTCACTGACACACACATGCTCACTACAGACAAGCTCACTGACACACACGCTCACTACAGACAAGCTCACTGACACACACGCTCACTACAGACAAGCTCACTGACACATATGGTCACTACAGACAAGCTCACTGACACACACGCTCACTACAGACAAGCTCACTGACACATATGGTCACTACAGACACGCTCACTGACACACACGCTCACTGACACACACGCTCACTGACACACAGTCACACACAGACAGTAACATACACAGGCAGACAGACACACACACACAGTCACACACACAGACAGTCAGTCACACACAGACAGTCAGTCACACACAGACAGTCAGTCACACACACACACACACAGTCAGTCTCTCACACACACACAGACAGTCAGTCTCACACACACACACAGACAGTCAGTCTCACACACACACAGACGGTCTCACACACACAGACAGTCCGGTCTCCACACACACACCACAGACAGTCAGTCTCACACACACACCGATGGATCGATCCGCACGATGGAGTGGAATTGCGCACGGAGACGATTAGATGCGATGCGATGCGGGGCCGCGGTCGCAGTCAGTCCCGCACACACACAGACCAGTCAGTCAAATTCACGCACAGACAGTCACACTACAGACGAACCGAGTCACACACAGGAACAGTCACGGTCAGTCCACGCACAGACAGTCCACACAGACAGTCCAGTCCACACACACACACACACACACACACAGACAGTCACACACACACACACACAGTCACACACACACAGTCAGTCACAGTCACACACACACACACAGACAGTCACAGTCACACACACACACACACAGACAGTCACACACTCACAGACAGTCACACACTCACACAGACACACTGACCTCCTTCTTACCTCCTGCTTGGAGGTCCTGGAGGCTTGTTGTTAGGGAAGCAGGGACTCCTTCCTGCTTCCCATGCTGCAAATAGCCGGGCCCCGCCGCACAGTAAGCTCCGCCTCCGCCGCACGCTAAGCCCCGCCCCCGCCGCACAGTAAGCTCCGCCCCCGCCGCAAATTATTTTTTTTTTAAATGATCCCGGGCGGCCATGTGTGAGCCGGCCGCCTGGCTCCCCCCGGCTCCCCATGGGGCTATGTGCGGCCGCACAGCTCACACACGGCCGCCGGGATCACAGGAGCTGTCAGACCGGCCCCAGGTGCCGCGGCCCACCGGGAAATTTCCCGGTATCCCGGTGGGCCAGTCCGGCCCTGGTCACAGTGCAAGTAGTAGGTGTCATACTGAGTAGACAGCCCTCCCCTTCATAAGCTACTGCATTATGGTTTGCTGTTAATCATGATGTCACCAAGCACTAAGATTCCAGTGGTTATTTTTTGGGTTTGTCTTAGACATGAGAATTGAATTAAATGTTTGGCATTATGGACAATGAGGACTACAAACTTGGAGGTATGAAGCTGATGCAATTGACGAGGTGGCATCCCACAATTCCGCATGTGTATTTGCTCTTAAGACATTGTAAAATGTAGCTCTTTTTGTCTGGAGGTAAAGCACAACTACACTGTCCACTTTTGGATACCATGCTTGTGTGTTTAGAAAATGTTGAATTAGATGTATATGGAGGGGCGGAGCCTGCAGCGCAACAGAGCAGCCACCATTTCCAATAGCTCTGATAACATAAAGCAGAATTCAAGCACTATCGGCAAAACTAAAGCCCATCGGCTGAAACCGGCTACGGACATCAACTCAGGGTACTCTGATGAATCTGCAGACTCCTTTCTTCCAAACCCCGGGCACAAAATGCTGTATCAAAGGCACTGGGCCTACCGTGCCCGCAAACAGGACCTAGCCGGAGAGTTAGCAGCATGGCTCGGGACAGGCTCACAGCACACAAAGTCGGATTTCTACACTCTGGAAGAAATGGGACAGAGGTCCCAAAAACTGACCCCACGCTCACCCAAGCAACAACGGGACACAGGCATCATGCTACAATCCCCTCTACCCGCATGGACCCGAACCGCCATGGAAGCCTCACCTACGAGGTCTGAAGATGAGAACTCCATGCACAGCATGGCCACAGCCAACACTGATGGAGAAAACCCACAGACCACAGGAGAATCAGCCCCAGCGGCCAAGCAGGATATTCAGAACATGCTGGCTGGACTCCAATACAACTTGCAGCAAATGTGTGCAGCAGAGGTACAAGTGGTGACAGCCCACACTCAAGCCACAGAACGGGAGGTGAGAGACCTGCGACAAGACCTAAATGCACTGAAAGATACAGCTACCCAGATGCAAGCCACACAGACCACTATCACCAGGCAAGTTAATCTGCTAGATGACAGGGACAGGAGTAAAAATGCTAAGATCAGGGGGGTACCAGAATCAGTACCACTGGAGGAACTTCCCCATTTTCTAAGGCGCTTAGTGTCCTCACTCCTACCCACCAGACAATCGAAACACTTTATGTTTGATGGTCTATATCGCATTGCCAAATCATTGCAAGCGCCAAGTAAAGACTATCGAACCACCTAATCGACACATAAACATGACTTAACATAGTCCCTGAAAGTCAAGAGGACTAACCAACACGCCTATGGACGTAAGACGTCCTAAACTATCAATGGTAGCCCTCTCAGGCAGTACCTTACCCGCGACTTACCTATACCACTGAATGCCCCCGCCCAACTTTGCTGAGCCCATTTGACCATTAAAAACACATAGAGCTGGGTAGATCCCTATGACTGAAATTGTCTGGTATGCCTATTGCAACACACAGGAATGAGGGAATCTGACTTGTGATGACTTGCTCAAAACTGGATAAACATTGGAGTTCACCAAAAACCTGTCTTAGAGAAATATGATGAAAGATAACAACCTAGGTTGGTATGAATATTCCAGGAGCTGGTCCACCTAAGATTGCTTTTGGTGTAATAACACCTAATAAACTTAAATTTAAAAAATTAAAATGTAATTAAAAAATATATTAAGATTAGATTTCAGCTAGCAAAGCAGGATACGGTTGCAGTTTCCAATCCAGCAGTAGGACCTTATTCGTACCGAAAAATCTTCTACGAGTTGGGGACCGATCTGTCTGCAGCGTGCATCTCTCAGAGTGAGGTCTGAGACGCACGCTAACCTCACTGACAAGCCGACAGCCAGAAGAAACTTTTGTGACACAAAGTATCATATCCATCCTGGCCGGTCCCTGGTGCAAATTTGAAACAAGGACTACTATTGTGCTGGTAACATTCTTGCTAAACGTTCCTGGCTTATATTTTTGTATTTTAATCAGTTTATATACTTATTTTTTATTATCCTTTATTAATAAACTTTATGTTACATTATTCTTAAGATTTATCTTTTATACAAGTGGTTACTTTCAAGCGATACTTTATTCTATTGCAGTATAGGAACAGTTCCCAATACTGCATTCCTATTATATATGGTTTACATCTTTAACCTATAAAGTACACTGTTTTGGTGTATACTATATTTTGTCTGTTTTTTAACAGATTTAAAGATATATGCACCATATAGGGTTATATTGCACTATAATAAAGAGACTTATCATAATTTTATATATATTCTTTATCATTAGAGAGAACAGTTCCATATACTGTTTCCCCATTTTTTATATCTTTATTTGTAAAGCATAACATTTGGTGTATACTCCATTTATCCTGCCTATAGCAGATTTAAAGGTGTACACACCGCACACTATTGCTGCACCTTTTCTGAAATATTGGAGTTCATTTTAGTTTATTTCTGACACCACCGTATTTTTTATATATTTTTTACTATATTTTTTAATTACATTTTAATTTTTTAAATTTAAGTTTATTAGGTGTTATTACACCAAAAGCCATCTTAGGTGGACCAGCTCCTGGAATATTCATACCAACCTAGGTTGTTATCTTTCATCATAGATCCCTATGACTGCCTAGGCCACTTCATAAAAGTGCAAACTTTCTCTAAACCATGCATGCATTGCACCCTATTGACTAACTGAGTATATGTTACCATGTTGTATGGCATTAAGGATATATTATGACTCAACATTATGCACTGAAAACAAAAATAAAGAATTAAAAAAAAAATGATATGTATATTTTTTTAATCTATATGCTTGTATACAAAATGTATGTACATATATATCTATCAGAATGTGAGCATGTAGTAAGTAATTTGGAGATAAGTACTGGTCTGAACTGTGATACATCTGAATTTGGGCTGATCTGCTGATCAGTCAAATTTCTGAATCAGGTTTTCATCAAAAATTCTGCTGAGCCAAATCGACATATGGCTGAAATTTTGGCATCCCTTTACATTTTTATTTGCTTGAAAAATGGTTTGCCCACACTGAATTTCCCCCCTCCATTATATATGCATAGAGATAGAGCGATAGATATTAAAATAGTTTTTCAAAATATAAAATTATTTTAAAAGTGTATCCCAAAAAGTGTTAATCATTAGAACACCGTATTCAAACATATTCATTTGTGGTCTAAGTTAGCTGTAATCTAAAATTATTAGCTATATCGATTATGTGTGGAAACTGTATTGTGATTCTTTCATCAATTCTGGAAAAAAATAATAATATCAGTTTGTTTATTTTACATTTCTTGAGCTTGTGTTTAAAGCTGTTGCCAGGATTTTCTTCCAATTCTGTGGGTGTGGGATCAGGTTATGAGAGCATTGGCACCCTTGTTTAAGCAACTATAACAAATATTAGGACTGCAGACCTGTAGGTACTTGTTAAGTGACTGCTTGTTGTTTAAGAAATGTAACCAACTCACTACAAGAATATTGATGTTCCCAGTCACAATTAAAGGTGCATGTTTAATAAATATTGTATTAAACATAGAAATAAAATCAGAATAAAAGTGTATAATAATTCTGTGTTTTGTAGAAAATGAGCTACTGATGGGATCTTTTCCTAAACCCAGAAATTGGACACTTAAAGTACCTGTGCAAACAAACCTGTATCGAATAAAAGGATGATTTTTATTAAAATGAATTAAACAATATAATATATACTAACAAAATACAAATACTCCACATGTTCAGGTGATGTAACCCACCACCCAACACTAGGAATGAGAGTACAGAGCCACAACAATTACAAATTAATAGTATGAATGGATATGAACACTAACCC